TTCAAAAAGGCTAGAAATAGGTGCCCTGTCTATATGCCTGAAATAGAGGTGATAAGGTTGGCCCAAAATGGCCTTCACTTCAAGTTAAGAAAGAAGTTTAAAGGAATGGAATTTAGAGATTTGTTTGAACTTTCATCTAGGGCAACTAGTTATGAGTCCATCCTTAGGGAAGAGCAGCAAATGAGGGCTGCTGTCCTAGGAACATATTACTAGGACATAGAGCTGGAAACAGAAATAGACATAGATATTGCTCAAGTAATTGGCAAGACACCAATGACTTGTGAAGCCTTGAAAAAGGCAGAAAACCAATAAACATGCCTTTTATTCAGTCAGCTAGGAAAAATGTGCCAATAACCCATCAACAGTACTCCTTTGATTTATCAAAGGCAGATGCTTTGTTCGATGAGTTATTAGCTGGGAAATTTTTAACATTATCCCCAGACCATAGCATCCCAAAAGAAAAAGATAGGATTGGCAAAGAGTACTGTAAATGACATAATTCATTTAGGCATTCAACTAATAATTGTGTAACTTTTCACAACTGTATGCAGGACTTGATTCAAAAAGGGATGTTGAAATATGCTAAGAAGGACAAAGGGGTTATGGCTATCGAAGGGAATCCTTTTCCAGAGGAAGTGGACATAAACATGGTGTCTATCAGTCTGAGAGATCAAACCAAGAACCCAAGAGTGCTACTGAGTAAGTTGCAGAGAAGGAACTTCTGGCTGAAGGAAAACCTAACCCACTATCACCTCCACTACACCTACTACCATATTTTCTTCTATATATAGATTGTATAGGAATTGTAATTAATCAATCTTGTAATCAGATATCAATCAATCAATATTACAATCAATAATACATATATTTCAAGAGAGACCTATGGTTGAAACCAGAACAGAAAAAAGAAGGGAGCAAAGGAAGTTCCATGCAATGACGTCTAGATTGAAGAACCAGGGCTTGAAACCACCAAGGGCACAAAACGTAACTTGGTCTAGAGAAAAGTGGGATAGTGAAACCTATGCACCGAAAAATGCAGTAGTATTAACACCAGGGAACGGCACCAAGGAGGTCCCCAAGCCGTCGATGGCATGTGAGGAACCCATACCGATCACGGAGGAGGCTTTGCTCAGACAAAGAATTAGAGAATTAGAGAAGGAATTACAAGTTGACGATGAGGCCATGAAGGTAGCCAAGAGGTGGCCTAGAGGTCAAGATGACGGGGCCTGTCAACATGGAAAAAAATGAGCTTAAGTCAGAGAGTTCTGGGGATTTTGGAGAGAATGGCCATCCAGTTTGGTAGTTTTCTCCTCATGGATTGTAATGTGGTGATGGCCATTCCCAAGAGTTTTTCAGGCCAAACCAAACCAACCAACACACTTGATTAGTGATGTGGAAGACTTCACAGAAGTAGTGGCCCAGATAGCAGAAACTAAGGCCAAAACAGTAAGGTCAATCGAAGTAGTCAAGTCGGTCAATGGAGACCAAGTAGTGCTGCATAAGCCTGGGGAGGAATTGATTAACCATTTGAGACCTCTATATGTACAAGTACACCTGGATGGACTGCCTGTCGATAGGGTTTTGGTCGATAATGGGGCCATTGTTAACATCCTTCATTCTAAAACTCTAAGGATTTTAGGAAAAATAGTGGATGATTTGATGCCTACTGACATCTCAATTAGTAACTTTGCAGGAGGCTCGTTCGAGGCCAAAGGAGTAAGTCTTAAAATTGAAAATTGGAGCAAGTGGATCCATCTGAATGGGTGTGTACCATCCTTATTACATCAGGCCCTCATCTTCCTAACCAGCTAAGAAGGGAGCAAGCCACATGATGGCATGGAGATTTACTGGGCTGATGCTAATCCCTTCATAGCAAATGTTCATAACATTGAGGCAACACTGTATGAAAAAAGCCTGAAACCAATGGAGGTGGTTTCTGAAGAGCTGAAGACACAAGGGGCATTATTCCTGAAGAGTTTCAAGCCTACATAGACGAGGGATTTCGACAGATTGGCCAAGACATGGCCAAACCCAGCCTGATGCAAAAGATGCAGGGTGAACCAACCATTGAATTGGTGGCTAAACAAGATGGTTGAATAATGAATACAATGGTCGATGATGTGGAGGACATTAGTACAGTTAGGTCTAATTTCTTTAGATTGTTTTGTTTCTTTTTTGCAAATAAGGTCAGTCCTAGAATTTTACCTTTATGTTCATGGGCTGAATGTGTGATTGACAATAGCCCTCTTAGTTATAGAGAAGTCCAGTTTGAACATTTGCAGGCAGCACCTGCTAAGTTAGATGATCTTAGAGCTGATGTACAGGATCCCTTAGAGGAGTTTAACTTAGGGGATGAAGCCTATAAGAGGCCCATTTTTGTCAATGCAAAATTATCTAATAAATGCAAGGAAAAGCTTATTGGCCTTCTTCCTGATTATATGGATTGTTTTGCATGGAATTATGATGAAATGTGTGGTTTAGACAGATCATTAGTTGAACATAAGCTCCCAACATGAAGTAATCATATTCCCCATAAGCAACCTCCAAGAAGAATGACTAATGAGGTAGGGCTGTTAGTTAAAGAAGAAATTGAAAGACTGCTTAAAGCAGGGTTCATATGGACTGCCAGGTATGTTGAGTGGCTATCAAATGTGGTTCTTGTCATGAAAAAGAATGGCAAATTGAGAGTCTGCATAAACTTCAGGAACTTGAATATTGCAACTCCCAAAGATGAGTACCCAATGCCTGTGGCCGATCTGTTGGTTGATTCAACAGCCAAGCATAAAATCTTATCTTTCATGGATGGACATGCCGGGATAATCAAATATTTATTAGCCCAGAAGACACCCACAAAACAGCTTTCAGGTGTCTTGGGGCTGTGGGCACATTTGAGTGGGTTGTTATGCCATTTGGCCTAAAAAATGCAAGTGCTATTTATCAGAGGGCCATGAACTTAATCTTTCATGATCTAATTGGAAAATTTTTAGAAGTCTATATAGATGATGTGACCATCAAGTCAAAAAGTTTTGATAAACATTTAGACCACCTTCGACAGACTTTTCAAAGGATGAGGTCTTATAAGTTGAAAATGAACCCTATGAAGTGTGCATTTCGGGTGTCTGCTGGAAATTTTTTAGGCTTCCTGGTTCGTCAAAAGGGTATTGAGGTGGACACAAATAAGGCCAAAGCTATACTAACAGCACCACCGCCAGCTAACAAAAAAGAAATGCAGAGCTCTCTAGGGAAGGTAAATTTACTGAGGAGGTTCATAGCCAACTTGGTTGGGAAAACTCAGGCTTTTTCACCTTTGGTAAAAGCCAAAGCAGATATAGGTTTTAACTGGGAAAAGCCTCAACAGGAGGCTTTTGATTTAATTAAGAAATACTTAATGAATCCACCAATCCTAATGCCCCCCATCAAAGAGAAGCCACTAAAGTATATATTTCAGCATGAAGGGTCCATTGGGTGCCTATTAGCTCGAGATAATGAGAATAGCCATGAGCAGGCCATCTATTATTTTAGCAGAAGGTTAAATGATGTAGAAACTAGATATAGTTCAGTAGAAAAACTGTGTTTGGCTTTATATTTTGCTGCCATCAAGCTAAGGCATTACATGTTACCTTCAGAAGTATGGGTGGTAGCCCAGACTGATGTGATTAAGTACATTCTGTCTAAGCCTATTATGAGGGGGAGATAAGGTAAGTGGTTGCTGGCTTTGATAGAATATTGCTTCAAATATGTTCCCCAAAAGGTTGTTAAAGGCCAAGCCTTGGCTGATTTTTTAGCTGAGCACCCTGGATCTTCCGTTGATGAGGATTTGTTTGAAGTAAACTATGCAGAAAATACCCCCTAGAGGCTAATGTTTGATGGCTCTAAAACAAAAGAAGGTGTTGGAGCTGGTGTTGTGTTCGTAGCACCTAGTGGCCAGGTTCATCGGCTTTCATACCAATTAGATGAACAGTTCATCACATCTAATAATCAGGGTGAATATGAAGCCTTGATCATAGGTCTAGAATTGGCCATAGAACTCCGAATTACTAGCCTGCAAGTATTTGGGGATTCACAACTGGTCATTAAGCAAATTAAGGGGGAGCATAGGTGTGCTAACAAAGCCCTAGAAGAATATCTAGCTAAGGTCAAATGACTGATAAGTTGTTCAGCCATGTTAGTTTTCAGCATATGTTTTGAATAGAAAATAGGCAGGCCAACGAAATGGCCCAGGTAGCTTCAGGATTGAGAATTCCAAAGGGAAACCAAGAAAGAATAATCAGGATTCAGAGGAGATGTTTCTCCAGATTAAAGGATCAACAGAGAAATTTCTTGCCAATAATGCACTTAGAAGTGGCAGAGGGGGATTGGAGATACCCTTTGATTAGATATTTAAGGAATCCTGGAGAAAATGTTGGTAGGCAAGTTAAGTATCAGGCCTTGAATTTTGTCATCATGGGAAATGATTTGTTTAGAAGGGCCCATGATGGCATGACATTACTATGCATAGGCCAGGATGAGCAGATGAAGGCAATGGTTGAAGTGCATGAGGGCATATGTGGTGCTCATCAAGCTGGAGAGAAGATGAGGTGGATGGTCAGTAGGTAAGGGTATTTCTGGCCAACAGTGAGAAAAGACTGCATAGCTTATGTCGGGATGCCAAGAATGCCAGAAACATGGCAGTTTGCAGAGGGTGCCAGCAGTTGTGTTACATTCTGTGGTAAAACCCTGGCTTTTCAGAGGATGGGCAATGGACCTGATTGGGCAAAATTTCCCCCCTTCCTCGAAGCAGCACTCTTACCTCTTAGTGGTTATGGAGTACTTCACCAAGTGGGTAGAAGTAGTGCCACTGAAAATGGAGACCCAGAGCCATGTGATTGACTTCGTGAAAAAATACACAATACATAGTGTAGACACCCCATTTTTGACCGTCCTCAAGACTTGGACGTCACCGTTTGAACACTCGGTGATCATCCATGATTGTGTTCGTTTATGACATCCCTATCGATGAATATGCTGAGGCCATGATGATGAAGTTGCAAGATCTGGAAGAACGAACAGTTATGGCCTACAACCATCTCTTGGCTCAGAAAAGAAAAGTCGAAAGAGCTTATAATAAAAGAGTGAAGATCAAAGTATTTTCAGAAGGAGATTTAGTATGGAAAACCATACTGTCCTTCAAAGATCCAAATTTTGGAAAGTGATCTCCAAATTGGGAAGGGCCATTAAAGATTTACAAGGTCCTCTAGGGAGGAGCCTATCATCTTGCATCTATAGAGGGAGTCCCATACAGAAGAATTATAAATGGAAAGTATTTTAAAAAATATTATCCAACCATGTGGAAAAGCATCAAGCATGGGTAAAATAAAGAATGATTTCATTAATAATATTATCGTGGGGTTCATGTACATATCACCATCTAGTCTTAAAAAAAAAAACAAAAGGAAAAAAAAAAAAAGAAAGGGTCTTAATCCCTCTGAAGGGCAGTTACAACGTTGGCCCAAGAAGACAAGATGGCTCTCCTTTTTGCCTTAACCTGGAAAAGTTCCCTTGAGCATCCTTGAGGGCAACTGGGCTATCCTGAGCCAAGAGCTGGTTCATCTGTTGATTGATATGGCTTTGTTCTTCCATCAGAGCAGCCTATTGAACCTCACCTGCGGCCAGTTCTGCCTGGAGCTGTTGAATTTGAGCCAAAATAGCAGTCTTCCTCTCATCAATAGAGGCACTGGCCCTAGAAATGGCTTGGGTTCTGGCAGAGGCACTGCCCAGAGTATAAGAGACTTGCCTCACAGAGGCCATCCTAGCATTAGTAGCCTCAGTCTCAGCTTCAAACTGTGCCATGGAGGAAATGTGTTGAGGAAGCGCCATGAAGTCTTGAAAGATGTAGAATTGATCAGGATCTAAGAGCCTTTATGCTAATGTCACAAAGCTCTGAAACCCACTAAGAAGTTCTTCAGCCCTGGTGAGGGCAAGATCCTCAAAAGGGAGGCTCAGTAGCAAAAAGAACTAGTCAACTTCCTGTTGTTCAAAGAAGGAGAGTTGCCTAAATCTTTCCTCATAAGTAGTACTGGCAAATGACAGCTGAAAGGCACTGGCTTGTTGAAGCAGGTCAGGAGTTGAGGCCATAGGAGAAATGTCAGCCTACATATATATATATATATATATATATATAAAACAACAAGGGGTTAGGACATTTAAGATGAAAGGAAAATCAAAAGAAAGAGAAGAATAGTGATACCTACACAGGAGGGGAAGATAAGGCTCAAAAGGGGGTGGCCTGGGAAGTATGGACCTCCACTTCAGGGATGAGAGCTACCCTCACTTCAGTAGGAGAAGTACTGGTGACAGGATGAGGAGATGGAGGTTACTCCGCCCCAGGGGAATGGCCATAAATAGCAAGGCCTGAAAGGACAAGACCAAAAAATAAATTGAGTATGGAGTGGTCGATGGAAAAGGGGAAGGAAACATATGGTATCAAGGACATAGATAAGGTAGGAAATACCTTCAGAAGGATGGTTAGGACTAGGATGATCGCGTTGTTCTAGCATGGATTGGACAGGAAAAGTTTCAGTAGGAGCCCTGGAAGCAGGCTCAAGAATGGTCTCAAAACCAGCAGCTACACACATCCCAATATAAAAGGGGAAAAGTAAGAAAAAAAAAATTGAAGGGAAAAGGCAAGAGACAAGAAAATGATAAAGAAGCACACCTAAGTGTGGCAAGATATGCTCTGAAGAAAATGAAATGGCAAGTGTCCGAGAAGCTTGAGCTGGCTTAGGGGTTAGCTCAGCAGAATCTGCCATAAGTTCCTCAGAAGCAGTGATCGGTGTTACATTAAAGGCAGGCCTTGGAGAATCAATAGAGGGATCTTCAGGCCTAGCCTCAAAGGAAGGATTGTCGGTCTCAGGGCTGATATGGGAAATTTCTTCTTCTTCTCCTCCTTCCATTTCAGAAGGGGCAGAATGAACTTCATCAGCCATGGGTGTTTGCCCTTCTAGGTTCTGCATTTCAGCTTCAACCCCAGTCCCAACCATTGAAGAGGAAGCACCATCTTGTCGACGGAACCTCTGTTGATTAAGTTGAAGGGCTGCACTGTCACGACTTGAAGATTCAGAGCTTGAGTAGTGGTAAGCTTTGACCTCATCATCCCCAACAGGAACAGATTGCAGAGGAGGAACAAGCAAAGCAGTTGCAGCATAATATGGCAGCTTAACAACTATCTCTGCTATAGAATGGACGAATACATCCTCTTGTTGGGGGTTCAGGTCGGAGGATGGGGGAGCAGAGTCCCTAGAGGGACTACTGGTATCCTCAGTCACTAGTAGCTTTCTCCTCTTCAACCGAAAAGAAAAGAGAGGAAGGAGTTCATGTGGTGAACTAAATAAAAAGGGAAAAATAGAGAAAAGAGAAGAAAAAATGCACCTGAGGAATTTTGGCCTTCGTGGCAGACTTTGCAAGAAGGGAAATGATGGGAACATTGTCCTCGTCAAAAGAAGGGGTTTTCTTGGAAGTATCCACATGAGCTGTTAAGGAGGGAGCAGCCTCATAGACCAGTGCTTGCCCCGCTAAGGACAGGTCTTCAAGAAAAAATCTTTGTTCTTCAAGGGTGAGGTCACCCACATCAGGACCTTGGCCAGCCTCTGTGCCTGGGCCAGTTTTGCTAGCCTTCTGTGAGGTAGTTGGTGCCTTAGAATGAGAAGGATTCTGCTTGGTCTTCCTCCTCTCAGAGTCCGCATCATAAGAGTCATCCAAGGGATTCCTCCTTTTAGGCTTCTTGGCATAGACCTTGACAGTCTTGTCCTTGGCTTTACCAAAGGTCTGAGCCAGCAAATGAGGCAGTGGGTAAGAAATATTAGAACACCAAACTCTCCTGGAGTATCAGCTGATTAAGAAATAAAAAGAAAAAAAAAACTGTGAGCATGAATAAATAAAAAATTCCGACAAACAAAGAAGAAAAAAAAAAAAAAAAAAAAAAAAAAAAAAAAAAACATGAGTGACTTACAAATTTGACTCTGTCGATGGGAAGGAGAAAGACAGGACAAGTACTCTTGTGATGTCCCGGGTCTTGGACTTGATTGGTATTGCGTATTAAGATAGTTTGTTTTACTTTCGGTGTTTTGATTATCATATTGGGTCGTTGAGATTTCTTTTCTTTTCTTCTCTTAATTAACCTCTCTTAACATTTTCGGGTTATAATTTTGAGTTTTGGGCGTTGGAACTTGTTCTGGTATGCGAAATCAATTTTTAGATTTGGCTCGCAAAACCGCTCGTGCGGATTTAGCAACCGCTTGCGTGGAATCACACATGGGTTTTTTGGGTTTTCTGGGCAGAAACTACTCGTGCGGATTTTGGTGAAAAATTATGGGTTTTCTTTGGAGCAAACCGCCCGTGAAGGCACAGAATCTGCTCGTGCAGATTTGGGATTCCGCTCGTGTGGAATTGGAACCTCTCGTGCGGATTTCAACACGTTTGTCTCGAATTTTGAGCCCTTTTCCTCAAAACCGATGCCAAAAACATGTTTGAGACACTTTTTCACTTCTCTCTCTCTCTCTATATATATATATATATATGTATATATATATTCATCTTTTCTCTTCCTTCTCTCTACAAATAAACCCAAATCCAAACTTTTCTCTGAGATTTAGCAAAAATCTTGAAGAATTTGATAGGGCTTTTTACTCCAAATTGAAGAGAGCGATGAGGGCTATGTTTGCACCGATTGAATCAAGATTTCTTCAACATTAAGTTTTAAGGTTTTCATCTCCTTCATCTCTCAAGCTTGAGGTAGGGACATTGTTAGAGTTATATATTTATATATATTTCAAGTCTATGCTTGTTTGGAGTGTTTCTTACATATTTGGACCATGATTTTGGGTTAATGAACCCTAAATGATATTAAAAGTGGATTTTTTTATTTTTTACAAAGCTTTTGAGAGTATAAGCTATGTTCTAAAGTGTGGGTGTTGTTTTGGAAAAATCTTTTCAAAATGGAACAAAAACCTAATTTTGGTGGAAACCTTAGAATTTGAGGATTTTGAGAAAATGTTGAGATGTTGTGAAATTCATGCTTGATAAATTGTTATGTGAATAAATAATGGAGAAATTTCTATAGTTGTATCAAATGAGGGATTTTATGAAAGAATGAGAATTGTTGATTTTGAAACTTTATGAATAGCTTATTGTTGGTTTGTCTTGGAAAGATCAAGTTTAGAAAATGACGATTAATATGTGGCGAATACATGTAAGTCGATATTGTTATATTATCTCTTGGAACATATAATATGATGTTATATATATATTTTTTTGGATAAATAACCAAACTTTATTGAGAAAGCATCATGAAGATGCAAAGAATACAAAAGCGGCCCCGAAAGCCCGACAAAATTAACAAATCAAATTCTCCACAAAATCTACGAAAGCCAATACATTCGGATCTACTAAACCTGTCACCCAACTATACAAAACTATAAGAAGCCGTCTCTCTAACCAAGGAATGGAGTGAGCCACCCCCTGAAACACCCGCCTATTACGCTCCAGCCAAATCAACTATATTAAACAGTGCGAAGCAAGAAGCCAAGCCTTTCGACGCCGCCGTACCCGCCGCCCTACCCAGCTTTGCACAACTGCGAACACCGAGCTTGGTTGTACCCAAACTAAATCAAAAACTGCAACCATAAGCATCCAAAGACGAGACAAGACCGGGGTAATGAATAAGCAAATGGTCAACCGATTCAGCTGCCCTACCGCACAGACAACAAAAATTCACCAAAATATGCCCACGACGAATCAAATTATCAATGGTCAAGACACTACCCAAGCTTGCTATCCAAACAAAAAAGGCAACTTTTGATGGCGAGCCCGGCATTCAAACAGCTCTCCACGGATAAACCCTAGCGACATCCTGTGCAAACGTATCCTGAACAAGCCTCCCATAGAAAGAGGACATAGTAAAAATACCTTTGGATCTAGGACAATCCCAAACCAAAGAGTCCTAACCTTCCCTCACAAACTTCCAACCATATAAAAAACCCAGAAGTTCCACCAACTGATCTTGCTCCCAATCTTGAACATTGCGACGCAACTGCACATTCCACACCATCGATTGCCCCTTCCCAAGCCTGACAACACCCGCCAACACCTCACAATCAGCAGCAATAGCAAAGATCAAAGGGAATCGAAACTCTAAAGACAAGTCACCACACCACCTATCCCATAAAAAACGAACTTGATCCCCCACACCAATTTTCTACCGCACCCTTCTACAAAATGCCTCCCGACCTAACCAAATCCCTTTCCACACACCACAACCATGAGAATAACCCACTGTTCCTAAACACCAATCCCCCTTACCCATACCAAACTTAGCAACCACCACCCTTCTCCAAAGCCGCTCCCTCTCTGCCACAAAACGCCACAACCACTTCCCCAACAAAGCCAAATTGAACAAGACCAACCCCCAAGCCCCCGCTCTCCTTTGGCAGACAGATCTGATCCCATGACAGTAAATGATAATGAGCACCCTCACCCCCACTAACCCACAAAAAGTGCCGCTGTAGCTGCTCAATCCGCCTGGCTACTGACACCGGGATCACGTGAGCAGACATAAAGTAAGTCGGAATACTCGCCAAAACACTTTTAATCAATGTAAGCCGACCACCCTTTGACAAATACTGCCTCTGCCATCCTGCCAACCGCCGTTGCACCCTATCCACCACACCATCCCATACCCGTTTGGCCTTCAAGGAAGCCCCCAAAGCCAAGCCCAAATATGTGACAGGCAAAGAGACCACTTTACACCCCAAGATAGCGGCCAAAATCGAAGATCTCTCCACCTCCCTCACCGGAATCAATTCTGACTTTGCTAAATTCACCCGAAGCCCGGACACTGCCTCAAAACACAATAGCACACATCTCAAATACCCAATATGCTCCTCCTCCGCATCACAGAAAATGAGCGCATCATCTGCATAAAACAAATGAGACACCTCCACCGCCCTTGGAGCCACCCCGACCTCAAACCCTTTCAACAAACCTTCTTGCACCGCTCTAGCCAACAAATGCCCCAAAACCTCCATAACCAGGATGAACAACAAAGGAGATAAAGGATCGCCCTGCCGCAACCCTCGATGAGTCGGAAAAAACCTTTCGAAGACCCATTTACCATCACTGACATCCGCACAGTAGAAATACAAAACAAAACCCAACGCCGCCACCTTCCCCCAAAACCCAGCCTCTCCAACATGTATATCAAGAACTGCCAATTCACATTATCATATGCCTTTTCGATATCTAATTTACAGATTAGCCCTGGTTTTCCCTAACGCAACCGCAAATTCACACACTCATTCGCCACAAGCACCGCGTCCAAGATGTGCCTGCCCCTCACAAGCATTTTGAGAATCCGAAACCACCCATTCCAGCGCTTCTCGCAACTAGCTTGCCAAAACCTTAGCCAACACCTTATACACACTGCCCAAAAGACTAATAGGACGGAAATCTCGAATATCGTCCGCCATACCCTTCTTTGGAATCAAAACAATAAATGTGGCATTAAGGCTCTTCTCAAATTCACCTGTTTGATGAAACTGGTCGAACATAGCCATCACCTCTGTCTTAACAACCCCCCAACCCTATTGGAAAAAGGAAATAGTGAACCCATCTGGACCAGGTGCCTTATCTCTAGGCATACTGTGCAATGCCGCAAACACTTCCTCTTCAGTAAATGGCCTCTCCAATAACGTGCAATCTGCCTCTGAAAGGACATCAAAAATTACCCCATCCAAGCTCGGCCTCCACCCTTCCCCTACATTCCGAAACAAATGCTTATAGTAACCTACAATATTGGCCTTGACACCCTTCGAAGACGAAAATTCCACCCCATTCACTCGAATTCGACCTATCGGATTGACCCGGCGATAAGCATTTGCCATATGGTGGAAAAACTTTATGTCTCGATCCCCATCCTTCAGCCACAAGCATCGAGACTTCTGACGAAAACCAATCTCCTCTATGCGAGCAAGATGGCCAAACTCCTTACGAACCTCCTCCTGGATAGGCATATCAGCTGCAGACAACACCCCAGCACCTTCCCTCTCATCCAACACCATCAATGCGGCTAAAACTTTCGCCTTCTGATCCTCCAGGCGACCAAATACCTCCTGATTCCATTTTTTTAGGTCTAATTTGAGAAACTTCAGTTTCTGCGCTATCTGAGAACTAGGCAATCCTGCCACACGATAACTTTCCCACCACCCTTTAACCATCTCCACAAAGGCCTCAGACTGAAACCACATGTTCTCAAACCGAAAAGGTGTTGGTCTACGTCTGATGCCCCCACTATCCAGCAAGATAGGCCAATGGTCCAAAGTGGGCTGCTGTAAATGCCATTGGGTCGCCTGTAAGAAATGCTCCTCCCAATCCCCTGTGGCCAGAAATTGATCAATTCGAGACATCACTCCACTCCTGAACCAAGTGAAACTACCACCCTGAAGCGGAAAATCTACCAACTCCATCTCATCAATGAACAAAGAGAAATGTCTCATTGAACCCAACCCTGAATTAGCCCCCAACTTCTCCGCCATACAGCGAACCACATTGAAGTCCTCGCCCACACACCAGGGAACCCCCCATCGATAAGCAATGCTCTGCAACTCCTCCAAGAAAGAAGACCTCTCCCCTCCACGAACTGGCAACTCCTCCAAGAAAGAAGACCTCTCCCCTCCACGAATTGGACCATAAACCCTGGTAAAGGCCTAACGAAAATCATCCTCTACACACCGAACCAGGCAAGATAATGAGAAACCCCCCACTTCGACATCCTCCTTCACTACCAACCTTCGATCCCAGCAAATATGAACACCCCCAGCCACCCCTAGGGCAGGG